AATGAATGTCTAAGAAAGACATAATAACCCATAATAGGCCTTCTAGCAAGTGGGCAACCTGTCCAGTCCAAGTCCCAACAAGCTCTTAATTTGAAATCAGTGTTAGAAGAGAAAAACAAGTCTTTACCAGATACACCATTTAGATATCATGCAACTTGAAAAGTTGCTTCCATATGAAGCTTACAAGGTTAACGCATAAATCTACTCAAGACATGTATAACATATGTTATATCTGGCCTTGATACAATTAAATAGATTAATCTACTAACTAATCTTTAAAATCGACCTGAATATTTGATTAAGTCACCCTTATCCGATAATTTCAAACCTTGTTCTATAGAATTATTAATAAGGGTTGTACCCAACAACCCCGCATCCTAAATGATGTCTAATACATATTTATATTAGGCAATAAAGATCTCATTTGTAGAAGCTGAAACCTCAATCCCAAGAAAGCATTTCACAATGCAAAGGTCTTTGTGGAAAATATTATGTAGAAAGGTTTTAATGGCAGCAATGCTAGTGAGATCATTTCTAGTAATCAGAATGTCATCAACGTATATTAGAAGGGTTATAAAGGACTTGCCTTGCTGTTAAGTGAACAGAGAATAGTCAACTTGAGATTGTACATAGCTAGTGGAGAGAATGTTATAAACCACTAACGAGATACTTGTTTCAGCCTGTATAAGAACTTGTAAAGGAGACACACCAGGTGTTCCTCCCCCTGTTATAGGAGCCCTAGCAGCGAAGATACATAGATTTTCTCAGATAAATCATCATGGAAGAAAGCATTATTAACATCCAGTTAATGGAAGGACCAGCCCCAAACTATAGTTAAGGCAAGTAAGCAGCAAAATGAGATAATTTTGGTGGTGGGGGAAAAAGTCTTTTAATAGTCAGTGCCTTCGAGTTGAGTGAAACCTTTGGAAACCAATTAGGCTTTGTACCTTTTAATAGAGCCATTAGAATGATGTTTAAGCTTGTACATCCAGTGGAAACTAATCACTGTTTTGCCCGCTGAAAGGTGAGTGAAAGACCAAGTACCATTATATTAAAGAGCTTTTAATTTAGAACATATAGCGGCCTACCATTGTGGATGAGTATAGGTTTCTAAGTCAAAATAAGGCTTCAGAACTTTACTAAGTTGAGCAATAAAGGAATGATGAGCAAGTGTATATATGTGATAAGAAATGTAATTAGCCAGTGAATAGCGTGTACTTTTGGTCAAACTTAGTAGCAAGAAGGTTAAGTGGTTTAAGTAAATAATGGAGCAAAAATAATCATGAAGTGTGATTGGAGGAATAATATGGGGGCAAAAACGACAAAGAAGAGGGGGATCAAGTGAGGGTGAAGGGTTGTTGTTAGGTGTAGAGGTGGATGATGGTGGAGGTGGATTGGGAGGAGGATGGGACGTGAGTGATTTGGGTTGTGAAAGTAGATTGTTAGAGACAGAGGTTTCACATTGGTTGAAAGGGTCAAAATGGTCAAATGAGGTACAGGGAACAATAGTTTTGGGTTGGCGTGTGTATGCGCGGAGAAGGGGTGAAGGGTGGGGAGATGAAGATGGTGACAGAGGGGTTTGAATAGGTGTGGATAAGGTTATGGGCGGGGTGAAGGCAGGGGGCAAGGCACTGTCATGGAGAAAAAGGGGAATAGAGCCAAACTCGTATACAGGAAAGGAATAGTGTGGTTGGGGTTGACAAAAGCATAAAGAAATATATGTTCATAAAATCATACTTCATAGCTAGTAAAAATCTTTTTGTTCAATAAGTCGAATAATTTATATGTCTTTTGACTAGTGGTATAGTCGATAAAAATAAAAAGGATGGAACGATGGTCAAATTTGTGAGATGTATGGAAATTAGTGGCATAAGCTAAACAACCAAAGTTACAGAGATGAGAGAAGAAGGGTGGTTTTGAGTAAAAAAGTTCAAAAAAAGGTGTGGAAAGAGAGAACAGGAGAAGAAGTCAATTAATGATGTGTATGGCAATAAGAACGCATTTCCCCTAAAATTAGGTAGGTATATAGGCTTGGAATCTTAAGACGTAAGCTACCTATAAAATATGACGATGTTTGTGTTCCACAATCCTATTTTATTGAGGCATGTAAACATAAAAATGTTGGAAAACAATACTATTATTATGAAAGAAAGATCAAAGTGAGATAAATTCTCCACCATTTTCACTTCAAAAAGTTTTAATGCGAGTTTCAAATGGAGTGAGAACATAATTAAAGAAACATTTTAAAAATGATTGTGCTTCACTTTTGTGTTGCATTAAGAAAATCCATGTGAAACATGTAAAATCATAAATTATAGTAAGAAAGTAATAAGCACTAGAAAGTGAAGAGTGTCAATAACAACCCTAAATATCACAATGAATGAGCTTAAAAGATTTAATGGAGAAAACTATACTAGGACTAAAAAGCAGACGACTTTATTTAGCTAAAGGATATATTGGGCAAGTATTATTGGACTGAATAGAAAATTTTAAAAATTTATTGACAATGAAACTTAAATGAAGAGGAGATGCATGACCTAAGAAATTATGTCAGAGATCGATAGATGAGATAGTAGGATTGCAGGTGAGATAGTTTGTGGGTAAGAAATGGTTGGTCAAGTTTCTCTATTTTTTAGGGCCACCAAATAGTATAGCTTTTCAATTTATATACCCATATTAATCATTATCCTCCTAACAAGATTTTACAAAATACACTAATAAAAAAAATTATTTAACAATTTAGATCTCTCCTTGTATGCCTAAATAATATTAAATCTATTTTGAATGTAATAACACAAATCACATCATGTAAATAATAGATTTAATTCAGAGGTAATGATCATTTTCCAACAATATTAGCCTTCTTTCCACTAGGTGATAGTACAGGAGGTAACAAGCATTTATTATTTATGCTAAAAGATAATTTACACGATAAAGAAATATAATTTAACATTCTGTTATCGATGATCCAATTATGGAAAGCGATATTAGACAAACTTGGCTTAGATACTATATTTGCTTGGGAGATAGACTTTGCATTTATTTTTTCTGTGGTAAGAAGTGATAGGAGTTGTTTTAATTGGGCCTCTGAATCCCAATAACTAGTTGTGAATCATCTGTGGAGAAGTCTTTGGACATATGATTCGTCGCAGGCTTATTGTTATTGTTGAAATGTCTTGTGCCCGACCCATATTTCGCCTTTGGGTTACCCACTTGGTATCCATATAGTTCATAACATGTTTGTAACCATTGACCTGCGTCCCCACGGTATAAACACTGGGGGCGTCCTTTGTCTGAACTAGGATAACGCTTGTCTTGATGAAATCAGCATCCTACGGTGAAATTCTCTAGTGACTTTTCTTTTGATCGAGGTTCTTGCGACCTATATGAGTGGTCAAACTATTCGGATCTCATCGACCCTCCAATGAAGTTTCAAGTGGGTCTACTGTTGCTGCTTCGAACTACCATGGGGACGCTGCCATCAAAATCACTTACAGTGTACGTTGAGCTTAGGAGACACTATTTTTCTTATTGTGAAATAAAGGAATATGCTTGACAAACTGAAGGAAGGGGATTCATCAGGAGGATCTATTTGTGAATAGCACTGTAAGAATCATTCAATCCCATCAAAAATCGCATCAATTTTTGTTAGTCTTGCTGTGGTCCATATGTTGTGTCATTATAGGAAGCTAGTTCATCCCATGGACCCTTCAATTTTGTGTAATAGGTAAAGACAGAGTTGCCCTTATCGAAGACAAATAATGTCTCGTTGGATTTCAAAAATACAAGTTGCGTTGCCTTCGAAAAACCATTCATGAAGATCTTCCTAAACCTCATGAGTAGTATAATTTGAAATTTCTGGACTGAGAGTAATGATGATTTAGGAGTGAACTTCATGATCAATTTCTTATGAAGGGGCTTTAAATGAACCATTGACGAAGCCTAGTTTGTTCTTGGAGTTCAAGGCCAGAGTCATGGTCCTTTTCCAAGTAGAATAATTTTTTCCATTCAAGGGTTTCGAAATTAAGATCATTCCTGGATGATCTGAGTGATAAGTGAAATAAGGGCTTGAGAGGTTTGCCTTTGAAACATCCATAGAAGAGATTAGGATGTGATAACAAATCAGGATTTGTTAGTCAAGCTCTGATACATGTAAACTTGAGAAGTAAAGGAGATTGAATCTGCTGGAATGAATGAATTATTACTGATCTCTTCATGTATTTATACAAACAGGTTCCAGACTTTCCTTTCTATTAGGAATCAATTATTACTACCTTGTAGGTTATCTCCCTATAAATTAGGCATTACAATAATAGGTACAGGTTATCTATTCCTAATAGAGAATATGGAATTCCTAAGAGTCTCCACTGCCATAACTTCCACATGTACAATTGGATGGGGTTGGAGGCTATGCAGTTCCAATCTTTGCAGGAATGGTAATGGCCGATAAGCATTTCAAAGCCGGGCCGTTTTATGTCGGCAAAGCAAGGAGGTCAATTTGTTTCATTGCCTTTCTGTGGATTTGTTATACCTGTTCAGTTTTTCTTCTGCCAACTTATTACCCCATTTCCTGGGATACATTCAACTATGCGCCGGTGGCTTTGGTCGCTGGTTTGATTTTGATAATGCTTTGATGGGTGATTGATGCAAGTGAATTGTTGAAGGGACCTGTTAGAAACATTGATAATTCCAAATGGGAAGGTATAAGCTCTATCACTCATTCAACCTTGGATGTTTTTATTGGAACACCATAGTTTCAGTTTCTCCTTTAGATACATTTGTTTGGTTATTTTTCCTTTAAAAGAAAGGGGTTTTACGATCTCTGTTTGTTAAATGTCACCTGTTCTTTTATTCAATTTGGAGCATGCAGCAGGTTTTCTAATCATTTTTCTGCAAAGCAAGAGGGACAGG